CAGTGTTTCGTTCCGTTGTACATAGGGTCGCTATGAGTTGGAACCAGCTCCACGGCACCTACAACAACAGCAGTAATTTGAAATTGGGAAGTGTAAGTCTTCCTACTTTCTTCTTTTTCAAGATTATTTTGTCTATTCAGGGCCCCTTGTGATTTCATATCATTTTTTTTCTAATTTTATTGTGCTTTAGGTGAAAATTTACATCGCAAATTAATTTCTCATTCAAAAATTTATTCACAAGTTTATTTTGTGACAGTGTTTGCAGTCCTTGCATTGTGTCAGCACTCTCCCCCTTTCCCTTTACACCCTGGGTTCCCTGTGTCCATTCATCCAGTTTCCCTGTCCCTTCCTGCCTTCTCCTATTTGTTTTTGGGCAGGTGTTGCCCTTTTGATCTTGTATACTTGATAGATCTAAGAAGCAAGTTCCTCCCGTGTGTTATTGTTTGTTTTATGGGCCTGTCTAATCTTTGGCTGAAAGGTGGACGTTGGGAGTGGCTTCAATTCTGAGTCATAGTCTCTGGGGTTCTGCAATGTCATGTAAATTCGAGGATTAGCTTTTCCATTTCTGTAAAGAAGGCTGTTGGAATTTTTGTGTGTGTGTGGGTGGGGGGTTTAAAGTGATTTTTTCCCAACTCTGTGAGAGACCCATGCAGTAATGACATGTCATCATCCTCCCTGCAGAACTATGTCCTTGAGAGGATGAGATCTTTGAGTCTCTCTACTGTAGCTTCAGGTCACATTTAGTTTTCTCATGGTTTTTTCCTGTAATTAGTAGAAGTGAACGTAATATCATTATTCTTTGTAAGATCAGAACCCCTGCGTGTTCAAGGCCCAGGTTTGAGTTTCACGAGATTTAAACATCTCATAGGAGGATATTAAGCTCTTTAAATATTTCTAATTACCATTGTCTTCATTAACTTGTAGAATTATGCAAAGTCGATTTTCTAATGGTTCACTTCAGAATTTCAGCCCTTTGTTTTTGGTTCTGTATACATTTTGCTAAGTCATCTAATACGCAAGGCCAGATTCTGCAGTGTGAAATAAAAAGACAGAAACCAACAGGGAGAGGCGGCTGTGTATACGCAGGAGAGACGGCTGCTGGATGGAGACGTTGGTCACAGTGCAGCTGCGTATGTTTCATCATATGGTTGTTAGATCTAAACTTTGACATGTCTGTTGTTTCCTAGTGTTAGTTGCTCTAGAGTGAAATCATAGGATTTATCTTGGTCATAAGTCCAACCACTCTTTCTTTTCCAAAATAATAGTAGGATTATTTATTTATATGTATTGAAGGAGCTGTAGAATTTCACACTTACTGTTTTCTTTATAGTAAGTTCAGCAGCTGTACTATCCTTAGGAACAAGATAAACTAGGTCTTCTAATTATTTTCTATGGTACATATAATGACTCTTCAATTTTTAACTATGTAAATACTGTTTTATGTGTTTACCTTAGTTTTATCTCCTTGGTTTGTAGTTTTGATTTTGTTATGTAGAGTTTGACGCTTTTTAGAATTGATGTATTTTGTATGATAAAATTCCTTCTGCAGCCCTTTTTCAGATTAGTTTTTATGTAAACACTTAGTTTTCTACAGTCTTGAATAATACATGGTTTATCTTCATTCAGTTCAGCATATTATTTATTTATTTATTGAACCCTGTTATGCACCAGGCACCTTCGAGAAGTTTATAATTCTGGTGGGACTAGATATTGAATCGCCAGTACTTTAATTCACATTAAGCCTTCTCACATGCCTTTTTATACTACTCCCCCTACGTGTTTGTGTAATATCAGATATTCAATATATATAAGAAGGAAATTACACGTTGAGTATTGCCATTTTCATATACATGTTCAGTATAAAAATTGGTTTCAGAATTCCTGGATACAGGGTGCTGTCCTGTCTACTAGTGTGTGACCTTGGGCAAGTCCCTCAATTCTCTGTTTGCACAGTGAGGTACTAATACTGCCAGCCTTGTCAGTCATCTTATCCTTAGTCCTCTTGTGTTAAGAGAGCAGAAGCCATCACATAGGAACCTGCTCAACTTTGCTTCTACCTCATCCTTCCTTTCTTATTTCTTTTTACAATTTAGTGGAAGTAATATCTGTATCTTGTCCCTTCCCACTCACTGAAGGATGACTGTACCCTATCAATTATCTCTTTGCATGTCTTCAACCACTACGTCCTTAAAAAAGTGTAGATCTTTTTTAAGTAGGTGGAACATTACATGAAGTAACATCTCACAGTTTAATAGGGCTCTAAACTAACTTACTGAAGTTCAGCAGCTTTTTCAAGAGGAAAATTTAGCATTTGTACATATAAGTAATATTTCAGCAAAATAATGGATCTTTTGAGAGAAGTATGAATTCTCTACGTTATATTCAAAACCCTGGTGTATTTATATAGGAAAGAACACTTAAGAACTGATTTATGGGTTGGCTTTGCTATTTGGGACAATTCATGTGGTTGCCATTTTCAGTCATCAGAATGACATCGGACAGGGTGTCATTTCCTTTCCATTTATATGGCTCTTCCTAAACCCTCTGGTGGAGCTCTATCTGATTGCAACTGTTGCTTCAAGAGCTGAAGATTATAAATGGGTTAATATGATTTTTGTGGTGGTTTAGTTTTCAGAGGACTTCTACTGTTAGATATTGAGAAAACCTTCAGCAGTCAGAATCCTGAACTTGCATCTAGTATACCTTCCTCTCTTCTCCTTCTCCCCTCACATATGTCAGGGATTTTAAGAAAGTACTTGAGACAAGGAATAGGCAGTGGTACACATTTGTACTGAAACTTAAGAGTCAGTAATGAATCACTGGCCATTTCCTTTCCTGGTTTCTTAACATTACAACAGATCATGAGACATATTTTCCTAAATTTTGGTCTTTGTGTAGCTTTTTAAGCTTCTTTCCTTGATTGTGAGTTTATTAATAGCCACATGAGTATTGCCTAATATCTGTAAGCATAAGAAGCACTGTATATGCAGAGAACTTTTATGGTTTTATTTGTTTAGTGACTCATGTGCAGGATTGAAAAGGAGGAGGAATAAGCCCTTGCTGGGCTTGATGGAGACTTAATCTTTTGGAATAAGATGTTCAGACAGAAAGACTTGAATAAGGTACTGCCTATATTGTCTAGACCTAACCAAATGTTAGTGGTATTGCTGAAAAGCAGATATATCTGGTAGAGAAAAAAAAAAAAGAAAGAGGTGCTGTTAAGTTAGCACTTGAGAAGAAAAATTATATATTCCACTAAATAGACTGTTTCTTTCTCTTAGTGTTTATCCATTAAACCCATTGCTGTTGAGTAGATTCTCACTCATAGCAACCCTGTAGGACAGGGCAGAACTGCCCCATAGGATTTCCAAGGTTGTAATCTTTACGGAAGCAGACTGACACATCCTTCTCCTGCAGAGTCTGGTGGGTTCGAACCACTGACTTTTTGGTTAGCAGCTGAGTACTTACCACTCTACCACCAGGGCTTCTTTTTAGTTGGTCTGTAGTAGCCTTGAATGGACAGATACAGTGCATTACGAAGTGTTCTAATCTTGCCCATTCTTAGGCATTCTTGTGCACAGTCTTGCACATTCTTATCCTATTTTCATCCCCGTCCTGCTTGTCTAGGAGCTAAAAGAAGTTTACTCTCATCTCCAGTAGATAGTAAAGATCCATTCTGGCCCGTCTATGATTTTTTCTTACTGTGTTATTGTTAAGATAAAATTATTGATGAGATTCCATTCTAGTTTCATTTCAGGAGAGTTAATGACAAAGTGCCATTTCCTTACCATTTACATGGTTATTTACCATGAGGTGATCCAAGAAGAGAGAACTCAGATTAGAAATTTAAGTTTTTAATTCTTTTTTGGCCTTGGATTATGTATTGTAATAAGACTGTTCCATCTTTTTGTGTTTTACTTGAAAATGGTTTTAGGCCTAAAATTATATATTAATTGACATTCTTATCTCTAAAAAGAAATGAAAAAACCAGTTGCTGTCAAGTCGATTTCGACTCATGGTGACCCCATATGTGTCAAGATAGAACCGTGCTCCATAGAGTTTTCAATGGCTGGTTTTTGGAAGTAGGTTGTCAGGCCTTTCTTCCAGTGTGCCTCTGGGTGTACTCAAACTGCCAACCTTTCAGCACTTAGCTGACTGCTTTCTTATCTTTAGGAGAAGAAAATTGGATGACTCTCTTGTTAATCTTGGGGTTTGGTCATGCAACTATTGTTTTAGACAATTAATTGAAAAACTATTTTTTATCTTTGAATTAGAAGTGGTAATAATTATCTAAGTGGAAGAAAGATGTGGCAGTCTGCTTTTGTTAAGATTACAGTCTTGGAGATCCTATGGGGCAGTTCTACTCTGTCCTGTAGGGTTGCTATGAGTTGGAGTCTACTCGACAACACACAAAAATACCAACAATAATTATTTAAAATACCCATGCAGGAGACCTGGGTTCAATTCCTGGCTAATGTATTTCCCGCACGGTTACCACCTGTTGTCAGTGGAAGCTTGAGAGTTGCTATGATGCTGAGCAGATTTTAGCAGAGCTTCCAGACTAAGGTGGGCTAGGAAGAAAGGCCTTCAAAAACCAGCCAATAGATCACAGTGGTCTCATTATGGGAATGATACAGGACTGGGCAGCATTTCATTCCGTTGTGCATGTTGGTCACCATGAGTTAGGGGGCAACTTGATGGCAGCTAACAACAACAATAATTATATTCTAGGTGAAAGTGATTTCCCTTCACTTAAAATTCCAGGCATAACTTTTCAAATCTCAAAGTTGTGAGATCTAAAACATAAAGGTTGAATAATTTAAATATGAAAAACATGGCTGATACGGTGGAAGGATATGAGCAGTAAGATGACATGACTGTATATTTCTAAAATTACTTGGAACCTTTTGCCCATTAACCCATATATCTACCCTGTTTTGATAAGGGGGTATCACTGTTAGCTAATGCAGCCGTATTTTTTTTCCCTTTTGTTATCTCAGTCACATCGATCAGACAACAACATGGCAGGACCCCAGGAAGGCCATGCTCTCTCAGATGAACGTTACAGCCCCCACCAGTCCACCAGTGCAGCAGAATATGATAAACTCGGCCTCAGGTGAGTGAGACGCTGTAATTAGATTACACGGAGTAATGCTTATGCATTGGTAAACCTTTCCGTGGAAAATAGTAATTATACTTTTAAGGAAACTGGAGCATGGGTGATGTTTATTTTTCATCCAGTTTCATATGGGAGACATATTTTATTTCAAAAGAACATGTGCTATCTGCCAGTCTTGTTTAGTTATTAATACATAAAGGGGCCAGTAACTGCAAGCTAGCAGTTTTTAATGTTTCATTTATGAAGTGAGTGTATCAGATTCCTAGCTTGATTAATTTTGACATGTGTGTGTTTTCTTCTGCTGTTTTCCTGTGTCTGAGGACTTAGTGTTGAAGTTTCCCTCTTCCTTTTGTGGTTTAAGTAGAAAGCAAAGCTCTGATGTTCTTACTCCACCTTCTGAAGCAGAAATTCATTCTACCCTGAGAGTAACTAGAAGGCAAAGAGCCTTTCTTACCCCCAAGTCTAGCTCGTGTTATCTCTACCTTTTCCACAGAAGATAAACCTGAGTGTAATATTTTTTTCTGCCTAGGGTTGCTATGAGTCTTTGATATGGTGAAATTGTGCACTACAGATTAGTAAGTAAGCACAAGTAAGCCTGTGTGTACCTTGCTTATTGGAAACCTTGGTGGCATAGTGATTAAGAGCTACAGCTGCTAACCAAAGGTTGGTAGTTCAAATGCACCAGGCAGTCCTTGGAAACCCTGTGGGGCAGTTCTACTCTGTCCTGTGGGGTCACTATGAGTCGGAATCAACTTGACAACAACTTTTTTTTTTTTTAATTATCTGGCAATCTATTTAAAACCTGTAGTTCTCTTCATTTGCAGAATGGGAGGTGTGGGATGGGAATAACAATGCCCCTTACGATAGAGAGGAAGACATTCAAGGAAATTAATGTGAGTAGAGCCTTATTACAGTTCTAGTACAGAGTAGGTACTAATTACAAGTTTAGTGCATTCACCTTTCCTAGTTAGATATTATATGACATCTTTCTCCTTTGCTTGTTGGGCTTAGGGCCATGGCCAGCCCATTATGTACTTTTGTGCATATTAGGAAAAGGTACCCCTTCCTGTGGGAAGATGCAACCCCATGTCAAGTATCAGGGATTAAGAGTTTGGGCTGGATTTCTGACCTCTGCTGCCCCCTCCCCCATCCCCGGCTGCGGAGTACCCTGGTTCAGGACACAGACGGCAATAAGAGTAAGTGGCAGCCTTAGTGGCCTTAATGGATTCCTCCTTCACAGCCCATCCATCTTCCTTATCCAACAAACTGATCAGCATAATATTAATAACTGCACTGTAGATTTTCTTAAACAGTAGCAGTTAGGAAGGGGACTGGTGGGAGTTGGGAGAGTGGTACAGTTAGTTGACAGGAGGGCTTCTTGATTAGGAGAGCTCACAAATTTTGAAATGTCCTGCTCTGAAGATGATTCCAATGTGATCGAATGTTTCTGCCATTCCATAACTGTCTGCTCTTGCCTTGGACAGGTTGAACACTGGAATTCTAAAGAGTTAAGAGCTAAAAATGAAAAGCAAGGCAGGATTCGTGATTGAGCTTTTCTTGTCATAAACTTTATATAAATTCTTGAAAAAAAAATTCCTTAAGTCTTCCATTTTAGCTTATTATAATATGAATATTCTCAGAATCTGTAGTTTCATACATGTGACAATTTAAATCTTAAAAAATTTAAAGGAAGAAAATAATGCATGTATTTATTGACTAATATTTTTACGTAGTAACTTTTTCTTAATTACCGAGTTGCCAAATAAAAGTTGTGAAAGCTGTCCTGTATTTATAGTCCAAAGGAGATGATTGACGTTATTCATTTTGTTGTGCTCCATCTAAAAGTATACCTAGGAAATTAGTAACAAATAACTCATTAATTTAAATCTTATTTTGAGAAGTTAGGCATTTTGTGTCCAACAAGGTTGATCGTTGTGATTTTTTAAAAAATATTGCTTTATTATTATTAAATTTTATGATAAAATGGTCTAAGAATATGAAAGTTTTGGGGCTCAAATTTATGTTTAAAATGAAAGTTTATATACCAAATTGGTTTTGGTGGGTTTAAAAAATAATTGTTTATGTTTTATTTCAGGTCTGTATTTTGTTTGAGAAATACGAGATGTGTTTTATTTACTGCATATAATTCAGTTGGCATACTTACTTGGAGTAGTATTTAGTAAAGAGACAGCCTGACGGGCAGAGTTTCAGTTGGAGTGGCAAGGAGTACAACTATGACAAGTTACGAGTAAGAGGAAGAAAAGTGTAAAGAGAGAGGTTGGGGGCAGAGGAGTGGGAAAGAGCTTGAAGTAGAAAAAGCAGCCTCTAAAGAGATTTGCACATATTTAAATGGTATTAGAAGGTATAAATTATAATAATTAATAAATGTCCTGTTATATGCCCCGCAACTTGGCTAAGGTCATTTTGTGCCATCTCATTAATCGTTATAATGGCCATTCCTCACATAGGCGAAAAGTTGAACAACTTGCCTCAAATTACACAACTTCTAAGTGGTAGAAGTCAGGATTTAGCTTGGGAGATGGGATTCCAGAACCCATACTCTTATTAATCTGTATGTGAACCTGGGGTAGGATAAGTGACAGAGTAAAGTCTCAGAGAAAGTAGAAGGGAATAAAAACCCACTGCTGTCGAGTCGATTTTGACTCATAGTGACCCTGTAGGACAGAGTAGAGCTGCCCCATAGGGTTTCCAAGGTTGCAGATCTTTTATGGAAGCACATTGCCACATCTTTCTCCTTGGGAGCGTCTGGTGAGTTAAAACTGCTAACCTTTCGGTTAGCAGTGGAGCACTTATCCACTGCACTGGAGGCGCTATTTGAAAATACTACAGTGGATATTCTGGAGAACTGCCTATACTGAAGGTGGTGGGTGTGCAGATAATGTTTGTTTAAGGGTGGTTTATTTCTAATAATATATACACTGTACCTTAAAGAGGAGAGAATTTTTCGAGAGAGGTCATTGCTTTTAATGGAGATGGTCAGTCAGTATAATGAGTTAGGAAAGGAAGAGAGTATGTGACAGGTAAGGTAAAGCCAAAAAGCTTTTTTTTTTTTAAATTGGGTCCTAAAAAAGAAAAGGAGTCACCAAAAGTTTCAATATGAGAGTAAGATGTTAAGTATACCTGAAATTTCTAAGCATGGTGCTAATTTAAGTCTGGATTATTGTGAATTTGGTCACAGATAGAAATGGAGGCTTGACTGTCAAATCATTGCTGAGGCTATTGATAACATCTGCTTCTTTTTACTCTGATTATGTGCATTCACTTGTCTTTTGTTTCTTCAATTTCGGTGGAAGTTTAAGAGTAAATAGAGGACTTCTACATGGTATCAGAATGCTTTGGAATGAATGTCATGGGACTGTAATCTTGATATACCTCATGTCATTCACATAAAATCATAGCTATAGTGTCATGGTAATAAGGTTTCAACCTAGGGGCTTCTCTTTCTCCATCTGGAAAGCAGCCATGGTGCTTGGCGGCTGTACACTGTCAAGTGAGGTAACATGGTTTCTGAAATAGCTTTAAGAGAAAATGATCTTACTCTCACTCAGTCAAGGATTGTACAGAATTTGGAAATGACTTTATTTCTGTGAGAAAAGCAGCAAAAGTGTTACTCTTCTGAGCTTGAAAAATGAATGACCTTTAAAGGTGTTTTTGGAGCCTAGAGACAGTAATCAAAGAGAACTTGGAGGGTATTTACAATAACTAGAAGAATGTGGTTTCCAGGTAGCAGGGTATCTACAGAAAATGTACACCCTAAAGGGAATGCCTTCTGAATCTGCTAATCTGAAGCCTTCAGATATAAGAGAATGCTGTACAGCTCTTTTTGAAACACTTTACTGTGTTAAGCTAAATGTAACTTGATTTACATTTTAATCATTAATTATTTTAATAAGAACTTTCTAGTTTTGCTCTTTTTTCAGAAAGAAATCTCTTCATTCAAACATTTGATTCTAGCTTTGTGTTCTCTGATTCTTGTTTCTAATCAGACCGCTTTACTTAAAATACTGTCATTTTCTGTTGACTCCCCAAACCTGTTTTCTGCATAATTTTTAATGGTTGGCTGGGCTGAATTATCCTCTAAGATTCTTTACAATTCTATGATTTGTATGAAATCCCATTTATTTTGTTCAGTCTAATTTGGTTTAGCAAAAAATGATCAAAGAGTCTAATTTTGTTTTTACAAGTCCTTTTTCAAAATATGAGGTTGAAATGATGAATTTCATTACTAGAGACTTGTGGTTTGTAATTGGCCAAGTTTTCAAATATATACAACTGCGAAATCACCCAAACCAAAGATGCACCCTCGAAAGGGTTCCACAGGCAAGACTGACTGCATCCTATGAAGAAGATTCATTTATATTCTTGAACTGTGCCATTGAATTGACAAGGAAATGGCAGTGAACTTGGTGAAAGGAATTTGAAAGATGGGGAAAAGAAAGTAAAATAAGTAAATTAAAGAAGTTTGAATAGTTCAGTAAGATAATGGTACTATTCTGTTTTATATTTTAAACTTATTAAAAGATTACTTGAGGTGATTTCCCTTAAAAAGTTACATTAAATGTATTATACTTACAGTACATTAATTCACTAGCCTTTTGATGCATGATGGAGATCTATATAAGTTATTTTTATATATCGAGAATTAGATAAACAGTCATTCTGTGTTAACATTAGAAGATAAGGACTTGTGGGAGAGAAGTGATACTTCTCCTTTAGTAGACTCTGTGTGAGATATATACATATACATATATATGTATATGTATATGTATATATATGTATGTATATGTATATATCTGGTAGTTGCTTGTTAACACCGACCTATATGATTGCTGAATCTTAAAGCAACAGTAAAGTCAAAAAAGCATACCCTGTGATGGTCCAGAAATAACTGGACGCCAAAGGGCTGGTAACTGTTTGTTGTTATTGTTAGCTGCTGTCAAGTTGACCCTGACTGATGGTGACCCCATGTATGTCAA